GAAAGGAAAGAGAGAAGCTGTGTGGCAAGTGAGGTGGATAGAGAAGCAAAGAATACTTAGAAAAGGTATACACCAAATTGAGAAAAAAAAAAAAGAGGCATTTTTTTATTTCTAGAACAAAAGTGTTCCCTTTTGGGATTTTATCTGTATAAACAATAGCAACACATGTACAATGGTGTGAGTATGCTGGTAAAGTCACCTGCACATATTGGCACATATAGGATACCTACAGTACCAATCTTAGCCTTTTCTGGTTAAGGGATCAGTATATACTTGAAAATTAAACCTTAAGAGGTATTCAGGTCAGGAAACCAATCATTCTTCCCTGGTTTCAACAACAAACTATTTAAGACCAAAATGGTACAACATGAGTTCAACCCATCTATGTCAAGCTTGCCATGGAAAACAGAAGATCTATCACAATTACTTGTTAAATGCAAATGCAGAAAGCCTCATTACGGAGATAGAGAAGCTTCAGTTTTACATCAACGGGAAATATAGTAACTTTGAATGAGTTCTCTTTAAGCTGTAATTAATGCATCTTAGAAAAAAAAAGCATCAAGTAGGAAAGCAGAGTTTTGTTTCCAACGAACTCTCTTTCTCTGGCAAGCTGCTGCACAAGTTAGCAGAGGTCTCAAGTGGTCCAGAACCCTAGAATAGGATCATAGTCCCAGGAAAAAAAACAGGTTAGTGAACAGTTTGCAGGCAGGATGTCAAAGATGCAGATAAGTTACAGTCTCCTACCATACATTCATTTGTTTCATGAATCTGGTTTAACTATGTGGCTCTGGCCCCAAATCTGTCCCACAAATACTTATCTCACAAGATTTTATGTCAAAAAAAAACCAACCCACAACCCAAAACAAAAGCCACCCTCCAACATCCTTCTTAGTTAGCATTTTAGCAGCCTGCTACTTCATGGTCAATACCCAAGAACACAGTGTGTTGCAATCAGTACGGTCTGATCTAAGACCACATTGCTGCCAAAACAGATGGTGATGCTAAGGAGGGGGTGGGGAAAACATGACTGTAAAAGGAAGGAGAAGAGGTAGGGCTGTTGCATTTGTAGCACTCTCAGTCACATCATCATAAAAGCAGCCATAGTAGATCAACCAAAATCAACCTAAGCAAATCTCCTGCCTCCCACAATGGTCAAAAGTGGGTATCTAAGGAAAAGTATAGGAAATGGGGAAGCATGCATGATACCTTCTCCAAATACTCTCCTAGCCTAAAGCCATTTATGGCTCAGATTACCCCAGTTGAAAGTGGTTTCTACGTATTCAGTAACCCTTAAAGGATTTCCTTCCTATTAATTTTCCATCCTTCACCTCATACATATATCCAGAACTGGGCTCAATAACATTTCATGTGAAGAAAAACCGCTACAACAGTGCAGTACCAGATGTTACCATTTAAGGACATGAGCAAGGAAAACATTCTCAGGAGCACCTACAGTTTTTATTAAACCAACTTCTGTATCTGGAGAAAAAGGCAACACAAAAAATTAATCTGCTTCTTTAGGTCTGAATGCTTTTCCCATAGCTTTAGTCAAGGCTCTGTTTGCTCCCATGATTGTTACTTCTGAAAGCTGTGATCCCTAGGGATTATTCAGCAACTTCAGCATTACAGTAACATTGCTATTACCCACTAATTCACCATAAGGTGGTTCAGAGCCTATTATTTGCCAGAAAGCACAATCTGAATGTTCCTATTGTTCAAAATGAGAATTTTATACATCAGCATCACAACAGTTTATCAATAAACACAATGCAAATCCTAAGAAGCCTTTGTTTTCTCCTCCTGAGAAAGAAACGTCTGTCATTATCCAACCCTTACCACTAAAAGGACTGATACTCTTCCTGGGCTTCACAAGACAGTTTTGGTTGGAATACTTCTATTCCCACATCCTGCAGGCTTGGCCTTCATACCAAAATACTACCATGCTGGCATGGGCAAAGTATTCCACCTGGGACGACTGATTCGACATCATAAGACTAGATGCCAGAACACCAAAGCAAACATGTACATATCCATCTCTGGCTTAGAGAGCAACAACCAAGCTTAAAACAATAGCTGAGTATATCTATTAAATCAAAACCCATTTAATTTCTTTTGAAAGCATGGCAGCAGCAAACTGACAATCAATTGCTCTTTCCAAATTTGGTTTATGCAACTGGACCTTTGTACAAATCATGAACAGATTAAGTCAGATACGACCTCATTCACATCTCCCTTTTGTGCTAACAGCCACATTCTCATTAAGTAAGGAAAAGGCATGGACATTTAGCTTAATATACTTTCAACATGATACACCCTCCCCAGTCAAACCAGAAACATACAGATATTCTGCGATACACTTGACGTTTCCTTTGGGCCATCTTCTGGTGCATCAGAGGAGGACATTGGATCTGCAGCAGCCTGTATGAAACAAATTCAAAAGGAGGCTGGGAATTATAATGAAATGTTTAAATACATCTGTCCCCTTGCGAGTTTCCTCGATTTGAACATACATATAATATTCAAGCAAGTAAATAATTTAAGCAGTGTCAACAGTTCAAAACATCTGTGGTTTTACAACTGTTTTTCTCCTAGCTGGGTAAGTATAAGAAAGAACCTATTAAAAACTAACTATTTCATGCCTATTTCAAAAGATAATATTTATACCTGACATGGAGCTTTTAAAAAAATCTGATTCTAGAATAAAAAGAACAAATTTATCTCTAACACTACTAGTTTTTTTTTTTTCTGTGTTGAAAACTAAAATGTGCACTGGTTATTATAATACCATTTATAAGATGGCATATTTGACTCAACTACCAGTCAGTATTAGTCTGTCAGGAGTCTGACAAAGTTAATCAGCACTCACAAGAATACACATATCCATTCAAGAAGAGTCTGCTCAAGTATTTTATTCTGTTAGAGTAAGTGTAAGGTAATTAAACAATATGCATACCCAATCTTATAAAATTTATGTGTATGTTGACTTTATATACATCAGAAATCAAAGTCAAAAGGATGAAAAGCATCTGCATAGTTTTGTTCCCTAAAGGATTGGAAGTTAATTGAAAAGATTCCCAAAGACTGACTTTTAAATATTATCACTAGAAGCATATGAGGCAAGTCTTTGACTAACAAAACCTTTCTTATTTTTAACTAACAGGCAAGTTTTAAAACCCATGCATAGAATTCAAACAATCCCAGTCATTCAGCCTATGTCATCCAAGCTGGAGAGGCAGAGTTAGTGCAGAAAACAGAGACTTAGGAATCAGGGCAAGCTCAACTATAAACTATCTTTAGGCAACTACATTAATTCAAAGTAGAATCAGGATGACTACTGGGAGAATTTGGAATGCTTGAACAACATTAAATCGAAAAGTTAGAGACAGGATGAGAATCCATCATCCTTCCAAATGAAAGGCAGTACTAATGAGTCAGCAAGCAGGCAGCCAAACTCTCCTGAAGGATGTCAGCTTTTTAGCTAGAATGACTGGTTTATTTACTTTGTACTTAACCTGGTAAGATTTAAAACAGGACTGTACAAAGCACATCCAATTGCTAGGAGCTTTCAACAAGAGTAATTAATTTCTTCTAGCATTCCATTATGCCAAACAGTAATTTTCAGATAACAAATCCTGGGTCTTACCTTGCCCCACTGAATGTAAGGCAAAATTTATCATGCATTTCATGGAGTAAGACCAAAACGTACAACAGCTCTACAGTGCAAAGTTTAAAACATTCACAGCAACACATCATCCTTTCACTACAAAGCAAAAGTCTGTTCATGGACAACTGTAAACTGCAATTACACCACAAATTGCAATTACATTCACAAATCTAATTTAACACCAGCTCAGCTTTTGATGACAACATATGGCTTGACTCTACTGCTTGCATATGTAACTCTAGTCACAAAAATATTTTGAAAAACGTATCCGTCTGTAACATACGGAATTAATCCTGTCACTTATGCTGGCTTTGTCATCATAACAACATTACAGCATTGCAGTGGGAAAAGCACTAACCACATTAAGAGTCCACCTTTTTTTTTTTAAATTAACTAACAGGACACAGGAACTGACATTCTTATATCTCCAAAGAAAAAAAATTTCCTGATCTTCACTTATTACACTGGAAAAAGATTTTGAGATATATGGATATGAAAGGAGAAGAAAAGGAACAGAAAGGGTATAAAAAAGCACCTCAGTTTAATTTGGCAAGGTACTTAACCTATGTACAGTAAGACCATTCATATACAATTTGCGTAATTTACTCACAAAACATTTTTTCCTCCTAAAGGTTTAAGCTCATAGGTTAGACAATTTGTGCAATTCCTCACTTGCAAGTAAATGAATACAAAAGACCCTTTTTAGCTTTTGCAGCTGTAGAGAAAAGGACCCTGAAAAGAACAGCTTAAATGTGGCAGAACAATAGCACTCAGCCCCCAACCCCCCTACACTGGTAGTCTCGACCCCTGACTTTGCAGGCCTTCACTGAGGATGAGTGGAAGAACCTGGCTGATTCAGAGTCTTGACCTTCCCTGCAATTCTACTGATAAGAAAACCAGCTCCAAGCCCTACCTCCGGCTGTTGCTCCTCTTGCATCCCTGCAGCGTAGGTTTATTTTCACCAACCACACAACTGTAGGAAGTAAAAGGAATGGAAGAGAATTAAAAATTAATGGCATAACCCAGAATATTTAAGAACTGTGAGGAGGGGGAGGGAAAAAAAAAAAGCAGAGGTGTCTCTACAATCTCTGGTAAAAGTTGAAGTAATAAAAGCAGCAAACTGAAGATGCACAAATGCTGTCTTTTCAACTCTGCTGCTGCTAAAAAAAAAATCAAACCCAAAAAACAGAACAAAAAAAAAAAAGACAAAACATCAGTAAGGTAAAACTAGCCTGTCTCAATCCAGTTTTTGAGTTGGTTCTAAATCCAGAGCATAGTCCTGTTCTCACACACAGAAAATACCTTGATAAATAAAAGTGGATTTCATGGGAACTAAGAATTTGCTTTTTTTGCTGTCTTAGATTCTGCAAAAATGCCTTTTTAACTCCAGATCACTCACAAGTAATTGAAGATACAGGATGGCTGTCAAAAAGGTTTCAGCAATAGTAAAAATCTTGCTCAACTAGATCAGTAGTTCTGGTTTGTCCAAATAAACTATGTCAAGACAGTTTTTAGGCAAATTTTAGGAATCATCTGTGTTTCTGGGACTTCACCGCTACAAGGAACAGGAGAGCAGTCATGGTCTTAATATTCAACTAGAGAGCCACATGCATTGTTATCTGATCTGAATCATGTTATCATATATGTATTTACAAATATGCCAGGGTCAGAATATTAGTAAGATCACGCCTGTGTGAAAAACCCTGGGAATTAGGTTTTCAAACCCTTAGTGAATGGTTTCCATGTCTTAGTTTTAAGATTTCTTCTTCCACCCATATTTTTCAAGTCCAAAAGTTCTCCCTGAAGCTGGCAGAGTGCTATGATTCGACTTTGACAGTACTGCACAAGCTACTGAATGCATGACAAGTGCTCATTCTGCTTATTCTCATGCTATCCCACTAAAATCGAAGCACTCGTACAGGAAAGTGCTGCTTCTTCACTGCAGTATTTTGGGTTATTACCCTCTGACCTGTTTCACAGTACCTGTGAACAGTGTTTTATTTTATTAGACCAGAGAGCAGTCCTGACCAACTTATTCATATAATATGTTTGCAGTCCCGCTCTGAGGAACGGAGGAACAAGTTAGGCTCCTGCCCTATGCCCAGGTGAGGCTGGAGAAAAGCTGGCTGGAGCCTGGGTGACAGCATATTCCAGCACACAAAAAGCCCCTCCCTTCCCAAATGCAAGAGTCTCCTTGAGTCTGATCAGTGCTCTGCATCCTGGTTTCCAGCCTTTGTTTTCAAGTGAGTTGTTCTGCTTTCTAGCTTTGCTTAAAATATGTTCCCATAAAAACAGCGCTCGCCTGGGCAGTATGAAGCACGCAAGTGTAATTCAGACAGCTGCCACACCTCCCTCCACGCGCATATGGAGGGACTTCAGCAATTCATGCCTTCACGTTGTCCACTGCTAGTGGTCAGCCAGCGAACCGCAGACCACAGCTGCAGGCTGGGCAAGCAAAACCCCAGAGTGATCAAGAGCCTGGCTTCTGCATGCTCCCTGGAGCAAAATCCCCAACAGAGCAAAATCACCCAACGGAGCCCCATGCCCTGAGTAGGCAACAGCTACAGACACAGCTCCCGAGCTGGGAGGCAAATACCTTGTTGAAACAAAAACTACACACTGCAAACAGTCCGAGAGGTTCAATAACAAACTATTCAAAAACATGCGAGAAGACTGCACAGGCAACGTGAGACAGAGTTTCCCAAGTACTCCATTGTTTTTGCTACAATGCAGAACACAAATTTAAAACCATGACCATGCCTTCCTCCTTTCCAAGGAGTCAAGTGAAGGAAACTTGAATGTCAGAGTAAGCTGAAACGACAGGTGAAGCTGAAGTGCTCTTTTCTGCTCCAGTGTTTCCACGATTTACATGCAGTGTGGACAGCTCCAAATAAGCACAGCAGAAGGAAACTCCTGCCCCGAGACCTGCAACCTGAACGGGGACACGCCAGCCCACAGACACCTCATGCCGGACAGCCTGGCCAGAGTTGTCTGGTGGTGTTGTGAGCTTAAGTGAACCCAGCATCTGTTTTTATGCTGTCCTGTCTCCGATAGACTGGTTTAACTATTTGTAGACTTGTGCAGTAAACCAGACTGCAGAGCAGAATCAAGTTAAAAAAACCCACCTTTTTTCCCCCCACCTTACGAAGGCATTTTAAGCTCAGATGACCAAACAGCAGGCAGGAACAACTGCGGCAGCAAAACTGAAGGGACAGTATGAAGCAGAAATGCTGACACCAACGTTGCCCCCGAGAAAATCTTTGTCCAACAACATCATCAGTCAGGGGTGTATCAATACTCTAATGCTCAGCTCTGGGATTGGTTCTCAACTGGTTTACGTGCAAAATACCACAGTATTTTTCTGCCAATGAATCAGCTGGCCGTAAATACAAACTAAAGTTCCAAGCTTGGTTAAGGCCTACCGGGGTTTAAAAACATGTCTCTTATCTATGGGAGTGCTCTTAAAAATAGTAAACTGCAAGTTTCAGTTAAAGAATAGACTTCTATACAGAAGCACCAAGTGATTTTTTTTCCACCAAGTGACATTTTAGAAAATCTCATCCCGTTCTCATCACTGGGTAAATGATGTGTCTGATATTGGGGAAAGAGAGAGAGAGAGAGAGAGAGAGAAAGGTATCTTCTCTGAAGTTTACTCATGCTAACTAGCACCACTTTTTATCTGACCTGTACAACCTTTGGAAAAAGCAAAGCTGTTTATTCAGTGTGGTTCCCAGCTCCACCATAGCGGGGTTCCAGCCTCTGCAGGGAACCTACAGCACACCACCATGAGGGTCAGATGAGAGACTGGGCAGCCACATCAACAGGTGTCTGCCACCACTCTCTTCTAGGAGATCTTGTTCTCAGGTGCTTAGATCTGCGCAAAATCCACTGGAGGTGAAACTTTCCATGCAGAAGACCTGCTTCTGGGTTTTTCTTCCCCCCCCTTACAACATCCCCAGGAATTCAGGTTATTCAGTCAACATTAAGAAAATTCTTACAACTGGTTGTCAACAGCAAACTAAAACTCAACTGAACTAAAGCTCAACTTTCACTGCCATGAAAACCTGAGTGTGTTCAAGCTCTTGCTTAGTGTGAGTGACAATAGGCACAAAACATGTCAACACCAGAGTACAGACAAGGCTGGTTACTCAGCTAGCCAGTGTCCTCGTCAACAACATCGGAGAAAGTACATACATTCTGGGAACTAGTCAAATACTATGGACTCCAGGCTGACCTAGCTCATCCACGTGGAAAAGTTACCATCCCTGTACACCTACGTAGTCACAGAAAATATCTACATCCCATGATACTTGAAATATTAACCATGAAACCTCAGAGAGGACTGAACATACTTTGCTGTTACACAAATAAGGAACAAACATATGAATCTGTATGCACTTCCTCCCACCGCATCCAACAGCAAGAAAAACGGTGCTGATTCAGATCAAATCCTGGCAAGCATCTGGACAACTTAAATCCAAGCATTTCCAAATTTCTTAGAGCTTGAGTTTTCAACCTTGTGGTTTCTTTTTGGGTTTTTGTTTGTTTGTTTGTTTGTTGTTTTGTTTGGGGTTTTTTTGTTTGGTTTTTTTTGGTTTTGGGTTTTTTTTTAAATAAAGTTCAACTTCCTAAAGAAATGAGACTAGGTAACAAGGCACAGCTTATTTGTCTGTGCTTGCTAACCCATAGGTGGATTTTAAACAAACTTGGCAGGGATGCAAGAGTCTCTCAGTCATTCAGAGGTGCAGTGCACAGCACTGCTCCTCCTCCTCCTCCAGGAAAAAAAGATAACTGAAGATTACAGGGAGTGGTGCGTGTGCGTGTGAGAAAGAGGAGGTCAGCAGAACCTGCCATGCAATAGAAGGAAATTCAACCCCAAGTTGTAAAGCCACAGGCAAAACAAGCTGTTCAGACAATTATTTATTGTGTTCCGTAATACATATACCACAACATCTCATAACCTCAAGTTCTTCTACTTACCATGGGATTTGGCATGAACATGCAAACCCAATCAAATCCCTCTCCTCCAGCTACTTCAAAGGCCTGTAAGAGGCCCTCATGAGATAAATCACATACTGAAAACCTCAGATATGACAGTGCATTTCTTTCAAACTGGGAGATGCAGCTTCTAGGCACTCAAAGATCAGAGATTTGAAAGTATTTCTGTTCTCTTATCTGCCAGGAGACTGTCTTAATCTGGGATTCATTCCGCCTCCTGAGAGTGCCACCAAGAAAATTCCTGGAGCAAGAAGAAACAAGAAGGAGTCTGACCTGGCTTCTTATGATCCAGCAAGACTAGGTTTTGCCTCTGGAATTTTCTTGAAAGGACTCCTTGATGACTGAATCCCCAATTCGACCCCCAATTCAATCACCTTTTTTCCCCGGCAAGTGGAATTCTTTCACTTGTTTCATCTTTGCTAGTCCTAGGGGGCTTGCCATTCACTGGGCAAGAAAAACTGTTCTTTATGTATGCACTTATGAACAAATGAAGCCCTTTCCCCAACTCTTAATATACCCAGGCAACCAAACAAGAATTTTTGAGACCACCCAACAAACTGCAAGCCTAAAATTTAGCCATTACTCATCTTACTGGTAGGCACCTATTTCCTTTCAAGGTTTTCTTCTGCTGACAGCACACACAGGGCAGCCATTCACACTGATGACAGCACTGTGGAAAAGGGGCTGTATTTTTCCCCTACACTTTGGGGATTTTTCTCTTCCCCCCGACACAGCAAGTTCAGAAAGGAGCACACAGGTAGGTGCGACATCTTCTAGCAATGCTTATCCTGCACAGTGGCTGACAAAAGCAGAGTGAGAAAGATCCCCCTGCCATGCTATTTCAGATCAGTCCTCCAGCTTTCCTACTGTAAACCAGCTTCAGCAGAGCTTCCTCTTTGCGTGAAATCTGCTCTTGAACTACTGGCTCATTTTTCATAC